TTTCTGGGCGGTTTATAGTGGTTGTTGTAACTAACCAGACGGCGGTTCAAAGCCGTTTCTTTAAAGGGTTTTAAATAGGTATGTTCTTGACCTAAAAAACCATCTTCAATCGACATCAAATTCAAAAAGAATTGCTTTGGGGATCACCACTTTATTTTCCAGTCTGTAGTTTTATTTTTCTATTTTATTTATGTATCCTACAGTGCTTAGAGATTCCTAATCTCAGGCATTAATTATATCAAATTCGAAGATAATTTCCTATTTTCAAATTTTACTTTTTATTGTTGAAAAATTGCATCAACACTAATAATAATTTTAAAATTGTAATTATTTATACTTCATTTAAAATTTTTATAACATTTTAATTATGGATACTCTCGTGCATAGCACGGGTTTAAACGCTAGTATACATTTGAAATCTAAATTTATGCCCAGTTTTCTTTTTGTTGTTATAAAAAAGAATTCATGTTAATTTTTTTAGTAATAAAAATATCACTTTTTCTATTTTGTTTTACTATAAAAGATTTATTTATTTACTTTTCTTAAAATTCATGTCCGAATAGACATAAATATCAATGATAAATGAAGTTATATTTTGTGTTGAGTTGTTAATATTTTGTGAATAAATAAAATATATATATTCACTATGTTCTCCCAACACAAATTTTAAATTGTGATTTCCAAAAATAATACTCCCTCCGTCTCAGAACTATAGTCTTAGTTGTGTTGGGCACGTGATTTAAGGAATATTGATAGTGAGTAAAAAAATATAGGTAAAAAGACATTTTTGCCCTTGTGAGTGTATTAGTGTAAAAGGTAGTGACAATTGTGTAATAATAATGAAAGAGTAAGGGTAGTTATATAGTTATATGATTATTTATGGAAATAAGACTTTTGTTTTGAAACGGACAAAAATAATAAACAAGACTACTTTATTCGAACGGAGGGAGTAATAAACAACACAAAAACTTTTTACAAAATTTAGAAAGTGAAAAAAAAAAAAAGAATTTCAAATACTTATTATAAAAAGTTAAAAAGTCATATATTTAATTTAAAATAATATACCCCCTACGTCCTAATTCAAAAGATTATTTTTACTATTTTCATCTGTCGCACTCAAAAGTGTTAATTTTCATTTTTAGTAAAAATAGTTATACACTAATACAAAAATATTCTTAACTTCTATCTAAATATTCTACTTTCTGATGAAATCTAAGGGGCTGTTTGGTTCATGGATTTTTTTGGTGGGATTGGGATTTTACTGTAGGATTTATATGTGATGAGATTTATTATATTTAGGATTTGGAATCCCATATTATGTTTGGTTGGTAAAATGTGGTGGATTTATATTTCGTGGATTTGGATTTTTTATATTCTAAATGACATAATTGTCCTCTTATGAATTTTATTTATTTTGACAAATTAAACCTCTAATTCATTATTAATATAAATTGAAAATATATCAATAATTTTATAAGATGACAATAGATTCGCGTAAACTCGAGACCCGACCGAGCCCGACCTATTTATTTGAAGTTGAGTCCAATTATTTGAGTATTAGGCCTGGATCCGGATCATGATCATGGTAATATAATAATAATATATCAACCATACATATGAAAAAATAATTTCGAATAATATAATTATATTAAAAATATTTTTTGAGTTTAACGTATTCATTATTTTATTATAATATTTTTTTAATAAAATATATAAATTTTAATATGCATTGGATCTGGTACATGTGTAATTTTAAATTAAAATTTAAAAATTGTAAAAAAATGGATTTTTCGGATCCATCAAGTCTTACCGGGTATAGTCTCGGTCGGATCTAGTATAATCGGATCCAATTTGAATCTCGGATTTAACAATATATATTTGGGATGAATATCAGTTTCGACTGAATCCGACTTATGGTCGTCCCTATAATTTTATAATTCAAATAAAATTTATAATAAATAATTAAACAATGAATTTATTAATTTATTTAAAAAATATTGTACAATAAAAAATAGTATAAATTTAATTAAATATATAATTCAAATAATAATTAATTTTAAAATTATTTAATTTTTTATATAAATATAATACTATTATTTTTTTTATAAAAGGATATAAATTTAAAAATTAAAATTTCAAGAATGGGATTTAAAAGTAACAGGGATATTCCCATTACAAAAAAATCCCTTATTTGTAGGAATTTAGACCCCTTTTTCAAATCCCATTATTTTAAATTTCACCTTTTTTTTTTTAACCAAACATGAATTTCATGGGATTTTAAAATCTAAATCTCATGTAATCTCATTAAATCCTTGAACCAATCAGCCCCTAAAATGTTGAATAATTCAGTTTTAAGTAATAATAGTAGTCTATATTTTATTTATTTATTTATAAGTTGTACTAAATAATTTGTTTTCTTATATGTTTTTGCTTCAAAGTATTCTCATTGAAGACTAAGATATATACAAACAATTTTGCAAAACTTAACAGTATAGAAATTGTTCAAAATTGTTTAGTAACCCCCTTATGTTCTACATATTGTAATTTATTTTTTGAAAAAGAATTAGGGTGTGTTTTTTTTTTTGAAAAAAAAAAACCGTTGTAGTTATCATTAAACTTCCGTGCTTGATGGAGAAGAAGCGAACAAAGATACGCTCGCTTGCTGTCTTGTTCTCTGTCGCGAACTGGGATCGCTCGCCAACTAGGTCAAATTGGAGCAAGAATGGTCGAGAACATATTACCCAACTTAGGGGACAAGGGGCGGAACGACCTCTCGATCTACTTACTGCATCCCAGGAATAAAAACGTGTGTTTTGTTAAATAATTTGAAGAAATATTTTTTATATGAGTCATAGAGAAATATATAGGTAATATAAAAGTAATAAATGTATATAATATATTACTCCCTCCGTCCCACAGACCATGTCCACATTTCCGTTTCTGTCCGTCTTACATTCTATGTCACTTTGTTTTTTTTAAAAAAAATGATTACATACTTTAATCTCATTTTTAAACTTTTTAATTTATTTTTTTTAATTTTAATTAAACTAATTAGTTATCTTAATATTAATTTATAATTATTTATATTATAGAATAATTATTTTCACTAATACATTCTTAATTATCTATTAATTTCACCCCTCCTAAAATACCGTGTCTACGGTGTAGCAAACATTTATTTTGAAAAAAATATATATTTATTTTGTGAAAAGAATACGATACAACACATTTTTTTAAAAAAAATTACTTCTTCCGTCCTAGATAATGTAAATACGATAATATAATTTTTAAGTAATTAAAAAGTGTATTAATAAAAATAATTATGATATAATAAAAATAATTATATATTAAAATTAACATAATTAAATAGTTTAATTAAAATTAAGAAAATTATAAATTATTAAATTTAACGTGATTAAAACTTATAATTATATTTAAAAAAATAAAAAATTACGTGAGACTGACGAAAATAAAAATAAAAACAAATTATGTGAGATTGAAAGAGTAATAGATTACATACACTTCTTATTTATATAGTAGTGTTGGTGAACCCTTATGTCTTCGTGGCATTGGATTCTCACAAATATTTTGCGTTACTCAAACCAACATTTTCGCTTCCGCTTCGTCCACCGCTCAAAGGCGGAATGGTCGCCTGCTCACCTATTGATGTATTTACATCCCACAATTTCGAAAGATCGCTTAGCCCGTTCATCTTCAGCGCAAGAGTGATCAAGGTGGCTGCTTTTAGGCATACTTGGCATAAAAAAATTTTCCCTTACAATCAAAACAATACAAACCCTTATACTAAGTTAAATACAGTATATTTTAAAGATAATTTATAATTTTTTAATTAAATTAAATAATTTTATTAATTTTAATTTATAATTATTTGTATTATATTATAATTATTTTTTTAATAATTTTTTAATTATTTACTGATGATGTCATTTTTAAAATTTCGAATCTACCGGAGTAATTTAGAACTTTTTAATGATGCTTTAGAATTATCCAAATATCTAAAACAAATTTTCAAAATTCTATGAAATTAGTATTTGATGCACGGGCCTACACATTTCAAAAATGCACATATGTAGATATGATGTATTACTATTATGTATGGCGATAAAATAAAATCCCGTATAATATTAACTTAATTTTCTTTATTAAGTAACTTTTAAATTTTAATAAAAAATATATTATTTTTCGGTCATAACAAACCATTAGTCAAAACAAAATCCAAATAAACGAACCCGTAATTTTGGAGGATTTTAAAAATAGTAAAAATTTAAATAAAATATTAGTATTTGATATAATATTTAAAAATAAAATAAAATTTTAATATAATATTTTTCATAAAAATAAATATTTAATGTAATTTTTTTTCTTAAAAAAAATATTGTTGATGATATATAAGTTTGTTTTGGATTTGATTTGAATTTGAATTTTTTTAAATTTTGATTTAAATAATAGTTTAATATAATATTTTTATAAAATAATAATATATTTTTTTAAAAATTATATTGACTAAACAGTACTATTACACATAATTTTTCTAATAATATTTTTTTTTACTTAGCATAATTTACAAATTACTATTAAAAAGAAAAAAAAAATTTGATGATTCAAATTTTGATACCAAACAGGACTTTATGTGGTTACAAAGCAAAGCAAGCAAGCGCGCCCTTCCAATTCACTCCATCCATCCTCTGCTGCCACGTGTCGGTCAAATATCCAATTTCCATTTCAATTAATTTTAAATTTTCATTTAAAAAACCGGACGTGTCGCCTTTTCATTTGCTCTATGACGTGTTGCCCGAGCGGCCCAAATTCACCCAATCTGACGATATTGCCCTCAGTTCTGACACTAGCAGTTTCTTTTCTGCACACCGTAACTCACCTCGTATCCAATGATACGACGACGCGTGGCTGTGTAGGTTTCACGCGTTGCAGGATATAATTTCTCCGAATTAAAATGAATTAACCAAGAGAAAAAAAGGAAAAAGGAAAAAAAAACGCCTCGTAGAATTCAATAAGAGGAATGGAAATGAACGCAATATTATCATTAGACTCACCCAATGCGAATTCCGTGCGATTCTCTCTCCATGGAAACCGAGGCTTCGACGGTCAAGGAGGAGTTATTTTGCGATGATTTTATCGACTTCAATTTTGGAGAAGGCGACGCGGCGATTCGCACCGAGTTTTTGAAAGGAGGTTCGGCGGCGGTTTCTTTTTCTTCAGGCTTGGAGTTATCAAAACTGCCGCCGGATTTCGGTCAGTTTCCTGTAAGTCTGATTTTTTCTATTGATGGTGATTCGTTACGCCGAATCGAACTCGCCGGATAATTATGGATGGACGAAAAAGAAAATATATCACATCAATTTGAATAGTACATATTTTCATATTTCTTTGTAATTATTATTATTTAAAAAAATAAAAAGCCACTGACTTGAGAGTATGCATGTCTCCACTGCTTCACTTTCTTTGTTTTTCTCTCAGTCAATCATGTGGACAAAAGTATTGTTGTTAATTCACATATTTAATTTTAGAAAAAAGAATTATGTATTTGATTGAATCTTATTCTAAAAGAATAGATATATTTTCTGTAAAAAAAAATGTATGTAAAGTGTCTTCATTGTTAGCGCAATTTGAATATAGTAGTAGTTACTGAATTGTTGAGGCAGGCCAACAGGCTTTGCTTTTTCTTTCTGTAAAGATGTGTTTATTCGGGTAGTAAAATTTTTTGAATTTAAATAAATTTAAGATAACACTTTCTTATTGTTTTTCTTTAAAACTTAATTGAAACTCTTATAAAACCTATGTAATTTGGGTAAATGATTTATTTTATTTTATTTCTTTTGAGAATAGTCTGAAGCAATCTTGAAGAGTTTTTTAATTTTTTTTTTATATTAAATGTGTCTATGTTAGGAAATCGTCCAGGAAGAATTAGAGTGGGTATCAAACAAGGAAGCGTTTCCAGGCTTAGATGAGGCATTCTTTGGGATATTATCCGAAAACCAAGAGCTATCCATAAAGAACAGCCCGGTATCGGTGCTTGAAGACACCTACGAGATGATCGAAGACACCTACAAGATTGTCAAGAGCTACTTCAATAGCATGAAACTCCCATCGACTCATCCTGTCCGGCCCCGGTCAAAGCGAACAAGGGAAAGGCGAGTCATCTTTGACGAACTAGCCATCCCACAACGCTCATTGTCGAATGAGACATCATCATCGTTGGGAAAAACAGAAAAGACGGCCAGGCGGTGCTGGCACTGCCAAACGGACCATACTCCACAGTGGCGAGCAGGCCCGATGGGAGCCAAGACACTGTGTAATGCTTGCGGAGTGCGATACAAGTCGGGGCGGTTGCTGCCGGAATATCGGCCTGCCAACAGTCCGACTTTCTCGAGCTCGCTGCATTCTAACTCGCACCGGAAAGTGGTGGAGATGAGGAGACAAAAGCAGTTGCAGTTCTATGAATAATTTTGTTGCTAGGGATTTAGCAGTTTGGTGTCAAGTTTTCTTGTTCTTGTGTCTCTAAAGTTTTTCTTTTTCTTGGTTAAATTAGAGGATGTAACCACTGATATTTTTGAAGGTTGGACGAATTTTAAGGGTTTGTTTTTTCTTTTAAAAAACTTTCTACACATTTGTTTTTTTTAAAATTAATATATTATATATTTATTATTTTTATATTATTTATATCTCATAAAAACATTTTTTTAAAACCAAAATACAAAACCCATCACACACATAGGCTCTATTTATATAAATATGTTTTAAAATTTTATTATTATAAAATAGATAGACCCTCTGATTTTCAAGATTTTTGCAATTAGCATTTCGAAAATAAAAAGCCACTTACTTTAGTGGGATCTTATCGACTTCTTTGACTTTCACTAAATTCTATGGACAAATAGCACAAAGAACGGGATGAAATATTTATTATTAGGGTGATAATATTTTGAATAATTATAATGAATAAAATTATTTAATTTAATAGTCTTGATAATTGATAGCTACTGTACTCAAGGCGAAAAATCAGCATTCTTAACAAAATATTATAAAGAAAAAGTCAGCATAATTAATAAATACAAACAATACACTAGATAAAACTGCACAAAATCCATTTTTCACGAAACAAATATACTCATTTTTAAACCCTACGAATAGTTACAGAATCCTCGTTCTAAACCCTTATAAATATACTCATTTATTCTTTAAGGCTCAAGAAATAATAAATATTTTAAAAATAGCTTTACTCTGGTTCTAAATTTTTTTTATTACTAAATTTAAAAGGGATGAATATATTTATATTATAATTCAGAAGGTAAAAAAATAAAAAATTCTAAAATTCATTCGCAGTTTCGACATTATAAATCAAACATAGTTAAATATGAACGACCTTAAGAATTAAAAACATAATTTATGAAACAGTGATGGACTATTGGAATTTGACACAGTTTTATAAATATAAAAAATTTGACACAATTTTATAAAACCTGTACAATTTTGCCAACACATTATGTGTTAAATAAAAACCCATAGTTTTGCTCTATGAACACTAATTGTGTTGAATTCAATTATAAATTATACTACTCGTTCTGCTCTAAAATTTTCATTTACATTTTGCGTGTTGATCCTTAAAAATAAATTATTATATAAAAATGCAGTACAAATCAAGGTAAAAATGACAAAAATACTTATATCAATGTCTTATAATACTATTATAATAATATTTGTGCAAAAAATTATAAAAATATAAAAATATTTTAATGTTAAATACAATTATGCAAAAGGTAAATGATACCCTAAGAGCCAAACTAAGGGAATATTATTTTTACACATTAAATTAATATAATACAACTAAAAACTATGTAGATTGAATAATAATACTCCTCTGTCATTTGAATTTATGCCCACTTTTTTCGGTTGTCATAAAAATAATATTTTCATTTTTTTCATTAAAAATACTATTTTTATCTATTTTTTAAAAATTTTGTTTCCGATCATAAATGTTTGAAACCTATAAGTTACCAAAATACTATTATTTTATCATTACATCATTACTTTTACATACTAAAAAAGGACAATTGTCTTTATATACATAATTCATACTATAAGTCAATAAAATACTAATATAACGTGCTAAAAAGTAAATGAAAAGATTATTATAGGCGGATGGAGTACGCAATTGAAACCCTAAGTTATATCCAATCCATCCCATTCAACCCTAACGTTTTAACCTTTTAAGGATGTTTTGTTTAAAAAATTTGGAAGATTTTCATTATTTATACAAAAAAATTTCTCTAAAATATTAAATCAAATATTTATTTTATATTTTTTATATTATACAAAAAATTAATTTTATATTAAAAATATAACACTAATACTTATTTATATTATATCATGCAATTATTTCATTTCGAACTTTTTATTATTCAAATTCAACACCATCAGGTAGATTGTATGTATATGCATCCACCATAAGGAGAAAAGATGGAGATTAAAGATACCAACAAGAAGTCAGACTTGAAATAGATAGATAGAGAGGAAATAAAGATAAGACAATTAATAGAACAATTACCATAACAAAAGTAAATTGTGGATTTTGTTATGTAATAATAATAATATAATATAATGTTGGTAAGTATATATAATACATATATTATATGTATGTATGTATGCAGATAGTATATATTATATTATATATATATATGTACATATAATGCAGTATCTATACATATATATTAGAGATGAATGTGATACTACTAGTGTAATTAATGCAGAGATAAGAACCGAGAGAGAGAAAGACAGTGGTAAAATGCGGAGAATTGATATCATTCACATATAGGTTTCTTTAACCGACCACAAATATTCACACCTAGTTTAAGTGTCTGCCAACAAGTTTAAGTGTCTGCCAACAAAATGTTATATATTGTATTTGTGTACAACGCTCCCCGTGAATGTTTTAAACAAAGAATGTGTCTCGTTAAAATCTTATTATGAAAAAATTCTGTGGAAAAAAATCGTAGTGAAGGAAAAAAAGTACATCATTCTCATATTATTGCGCTCCCTCTGTTTTGGACTTTATTTAATGTCTTTCATCTTATGCATTCCAATTTCTTGTACTAGTTTATTGAATATTGCAGTTGGTAACGCATTCGTAAATAAATCTGCAAAATTTTCAGACAATCGAATTTGTTGCACATTAATTTCACCACTTTTCTAAATATCGTGAGTAAAAAAGAACTTTGGAGATACGTGCTTTGTTCGATCGCCTTTAATATATTCTTCATTTAACTGAGCTATACAAGCTGCATTGTCTTCGGATAATATTGTATGAGGTAATACATCATAAAAAATCAAGCCACAATTTTTATGAATATGGTGAATCATAGACCTCAACCAAACGCATTCACGACTGGCTTCGTGAATTGCTAAAACCTCAGCATGGTTTGAAGAAGTAACTACTATTGTCTATTTAGTAGATCTCTAAGAGATTGCAGTTCACCACAAGTAAATAAATAGCCAGTTTGAGATTTTTCTTTGTGTGGATCAGACAGATAATTAACATCAGCATAATCAATTAATTCATTTCGAGATTCACTTAAATAAAATAGACCGAGGTCATGAGTCCCCTAAAGATAACGAAAAATGTGCTTGATACCATTCCAATAGCGCTTTGTGGGGGATGCGCTAAACCTGGCCAGTAGATTTACTAAAAAAAGATATATCTGGTCTGGTACAATTTGCAAGGTACATTAATGCGCCGCCAATAGCGCGGAGATATGGTACCTCCGGGCCAAGTATTTCTTCATTTTCTTTTCTTGACCTAAATGGATCTTTACTGGGATCAAGAGATCTTACCACCATTGGTATACTCAAAGAGTGAGATTTATCCATATAAAATTGTTTTAATACCTTTTGGGTATATGTGAATTGATGGATAAATATTTCATTATTAATATGATCCACTTGTAATCCCAGACAATATTTTGTCTTTCCAAAATCTTTGATCTCAAATTCTTTCTTTAGATATTCAACTGCAATTTGGATCTCTTCAGGAGTTCCAATTAAATTGAGATCATCAACATATATTGCAATAATGACAAAATTTGATCCATTTTTCTTTATAAAGACGCATGAGCATATTGGATCATTAATATAACTTTCTTTTATTAAATATTCGCTGAGACGGTTATATCACATTCGACCTGATTGTTTAAGTCCATACAATGACTTTTTCAATTTGATGGAATATGATTCCTTTGGGTTTAATTTGTATGTTTCAGACACATTGAATCCCTCAAGAACTTTCATATATATATATATATATATCAATATCCAATGAGTCATAAAAAAAAATATACAGTAACTACATCTAAAAGATGCATATCGAGCTTTTCTCGCACTGCTAGGCTCACAAGGTATCTAAATGTTATTTCATCAACAACTGAAAAGTATGTTTCATCAAAATCTACTCCTAGTCTTTATGAGAATCCCTGAGCCACAAGACGGGCTTTATATCTCACAATTTCATTATGTTTATTTCTTTTTCGTACAAACATCCATTTGTATCAAACTGATTTTATACCATCCGGTGTTTGAACAATTGGTCCGAAGACCTCCTTTTTGTTTAATTAGTCAAGCTCTGATTGAATCGCATGTTCCTATTTTGACCAGTCATTTCTTTGCCAAAATTCATGAACCGATTTTGGTTCTGGATCCTCATTTTCTTCCATTATATCAAGTGCTAAACTGTAGGCGAAGGCATTATCAGTTTTTTTACGGTTCCAACATTTTCTTGAAGTAACGTAGTTAATCGATTTTCAATAATCTCATCATGTTCTTCAAGATCGAGGTTGACTTCCTCATTAGATTGAGGTTTATCAATGTCATTCCTGATATTTTCATGATTATCATCATTAATTCCTCTTTTCTTTCAAGGATGTTTGTCTTTGGAACCGAGTGTTCTACCACGCTTTAAGCATGTCGCTGATTCATTAACACTTGCAATTTGTCCATCAGGGACAGTTAATTTAGCCGGAGCATTAGCAGCTTGGATATATGATCGAGTGACTTTGCTCGAGTCATTGAAAGCATCTGGTTGATTTGCAATATTTTGAAAATGTATAATACGTTGAACTTCTAGTTCACACTGCTTTGTACGAGGATCACAAAAATTCAATGGGATTTTCCAATTAATATCCCTTTTCTGTTCATTTCTATCTCCCCATTATGTCGGAAAATATAATTCGTCAAAATGACAACATGCAAATATTGCAGTGAATAAATCACCCGTCATAGGTTCAAGATATTTTATAATTGACAGCGATTCATATCCGACATAAATGTCCAATCTACGTTGAGGACCCATTTTTGTACATTTGGAGGTGGAATAGAAACATAAACAGCGCACCTAAAAATACGTAGATGAGATATATTTGGTTCGTGACCAAATACTAACTGCATCGGGGAGTAGCTATGATAGCTTGTCGGCCTCGTTCTTATAAGTGTTCCTGCATGTAAGATTGCATGTCCCCAAGCTGAAACGGACAACATAGATCTCATTGGTAATGGTCTAGAAATCAATTGCAATCTTTTAATAAGTGATTCTGCTAGGCCATTTTGTGTATGAACATGAGCAACTGGGTGCTATACATTAATTCCAATCGACATGCAATAATCATCAAATACATTTGATGTATATTCACCAGCATTATCCAGACGTATAATCTTGATGGGATTATCGGGGAATTGTGCCCGTAATTTAATAATTTGGGCAAACAATCTCGCAAATGTCATATTATGAGTAGATAGTAAACAAAGATGTGACCATCTGGTAGATGCATCAATAAGCACCATAAAATATTTAAATTGCCCACACGGTGGGTCTATTGGTCCACAGATATCCCCGTGTATTCTTTTAAAAAATGTAGGTGATTCAATACCTACTTTAGTTGGCGATGGCCTGATTATCAATTTTCCCTGAGTGCAGGCAACACAGGTTAACTCATTTGAGTTTAACACTTTTTGACCTTTTAATGAATGGTCATGCGAATTCTCAATTATTCGCCCCATTATTATACTGCCAGGATACCCAAGACAATCATGTCATATTTGAAAATCGGTAGTCTTTTGATCTACCGTGAGATGTGTTTCAACAACACCTAATCTGGCATAATATAAGCCAGTAGAGAGTGGGGGTAATATCTCAATGATGCATTTCTTTTTATCAAGGATATTGGTGATCAATAAAAATTCGGTATCACTCATAGTTTCAATGTGATAACCATTTTTCCGAATGTCATGAAAGCTCAGTAAGTTTCTTCGAGCTTTAGTGGCCAACAGTGCATATTGTATCACAATTTTCGTCCCCGCGGGGAGAAATATAATGACTTCTCCAGAGCCTTCAATTAATTTTGCACTGCCACTTATTGTATTGACATTCATTCTTTCCCTTTTCAAATGGGAGAAATATTTTTCGTGTTTCAATATAGTATGTGTTGTTGCACTGTCAATAAAACACATATTTGCATATGTTATGCACAAAAAATAATAATAATAAGGTAATAGTGGTAGGTCGGACAGACAGGTCTGATGGTCAGCAGGTCGGACAGACAGGTCTGATGGTCTGCGGTTGGATAGGCAAGTCGGCTGGTCTGCGGTCGGATAGGCAAGTCGGCTGGTCTGCGGTCGGATAGGCAAGTCAGCTGGTCCGCAGGCGGATAGACAAGTTGCTTAGTGGGTGCGGCCAAGGAGTCTTTTGGTCTAGCGATTGGTCTGTGAATTGGTCGGTTGGGCTATTTGAGTTTTGGAACTGGTGGAGGCGTTTGGCAAGGCGGTTGATATAACCGACCAGATGACGTTTCAAAACGTTTCTTCTTGGGCGGTTGACGGCGGTTGCTGGTGACGGTTCCAAAACGTCTTTTCAAGGAATATTTAAGGATTTGGATCAACAACTGACAATCATCTTCAATCAATTTCAACAAAAACAAAGTCAGATTCGGGGATCACCATTTTAAATTTCCAGTATGTAGTTTTTAAATTTCCAGTTTATGTATGTACTTTCGAGATTTCTAATCTCAGGCACTAATTAATCAAATTTGAGGATATTTCCATATATTTGAATTTTACTTTTTATTTGTTGAAAAAAATACATCAACAACATCATTTTGTTTGGCATCTATTTAACCTTCAAATATAAATAAATACAATATTAATAAATATTACAAAATACATTACAAAAAGGTAATATGCGATAATTTAAAGATAACAAAATATAAAGTAACATAATGAAAAATGACATAATATGTCTGTCACTGGGGATTAGCTGGATCTACGACAACATTATATCAAGATGCGTTGTGTCGTAATCCAGAAGATCATCATCAGGGTCATCATCGTTATCAACGTGATTAGTCTCGATCTCTTTCCCCTTTTTCTGCAGTGAGGTCTGATAAAGATCGACTAGGTGTTTGGTTGTTCTGCAGGTATTGGCCCAATGGTCTTCAATGCCACATCGATTACAAATACCGATTTGTCTCTTTACTTGTTTAGCATTTTTGGCTATATCCCCATATTGGGGTTTACTCTACTTCTTGTTAATGTCAAACCTGTGGTGATTGTAAGGGGTATATCAACCGCGTTGACTCTCACGGCCGCGACCACATCTACGGCTTCTACCACGTCCTCGGCCTCGTTCAGAAAATGTCACGTTCACTTTAGGGAACAGACTGGAACCAGTGGGTAGAGACTGATAATTTTTCATCAGTAACTCATTATTTTGCTCAGCTAATAAAAGACATGCAATGAGTTGTGAGTACTTTTGAAAGTTTTTCTCACGATACGATATTGATGTTGCAGTACAACATTAGAAGCATGAACGTAGAGAATCTTTTCAAATTTATCATTCTCAGTAACATTTTTTCCGTAGAGTTTCAACTGAGATGTAAATGGATAGCATAGTTGTACTCTGTAACAGTTTTAAAATCCTGCAATTGTACGTTAAGCCAATCATGTCGGGCTTCGGAGAGAGTATATATTTCAAGTGCCTAAATCTCTCCCTCAATTCATTCCACATATCAAGTGGATCTTTCACCGTCAAATATTCGGACTGTAAAGGAATGTCCAAATGGTGACGAATGAAAATAATAGCCTTAGCCTGACCTTGGCTTGTAGCTGCATTTTCACTGCAAAAATTGTATGAACAAGGCCCATAGAAACCAAATACATTTCTACGTCCAGGGACCAAGTCAGAAAATTATTGCCGGTAAGAGACAAAGGTTTAAAAGAAAACTTTGCAAGATTTTCCATAGTTTAGAAAATAGATAATATAGATAGTATAGAAATAAAACTTACCAAAAATAAAATAGACAAGAGTTTTCGTATTGATAACGTGTTATGTAACAATAATAATATAATATAATGTTGATAAATATATATAATATATATTATATGTATATGTACGTATGCTGGTAGTATATATTATTATATATATGTGTACATATAATGCACTATCTATACATATATATTTGATATGAATGTGATACTACTAGTGTAGTTAATGCAGAGATGAGAATAGAGGGAGTTGTAAAATGTGGAGAATTGATATCATTCAAGTACATTATGCTATACATATATAGGTTTCATCAACCAATCACAAACATTCACACCTAGTTTAAGTGTCTGCCAACAAAATGTTGTTATGTATTGCATTTGTGTACAACAGATTTCTCATTTACATTTTCATTATCTCCATTTTCACTATTTTCATTTTATTTTTTATAACAGCCGCTACTAGCTGAGTGGCTCTGCGTAAACCTTGGGCCACAAGTCTCACTCCACACCACCAGACCAGTATTTACAAGACACTATTTTTATATGATTTATGAAATACTACTTAACCAAATTTGTGATTAAAAGTTTTAGTCATATTCACACTTGAAGAAATATGGGCCAAATCTATGCAATTCAACAAACTTCATGCCATTATTATTGCTGAAATCATTAACAATCTAGTTGTATGACAGATAGGTATAGGAAAACTTAGGAATGATTCATAGAGATTGAAGACCAAGCAATTGTCATATCATACAAAGATCAATTGAGATCCAACTAGATTACCATTCTGATTGATCATCAATTGATATAACCATTCCATAAAAAAGCTAACAAATATATTTAATGTTGTGTGCTGTAGAGAGAATGGTAATCTTGTTGGATCTATAATATCTATGGAATGGTTACCATTCCTTATTCAATTGATCATTAATTAGGAAGGTTCCCAACCAGAAGCTGTTGGTTATAATTCAGTCACTTCATTTAATGTTGTGTGCTATACACATTACTGCAGAGACAAGTGTCAACTGTCAAAGTGTCGATTTACACACATACAGCTGTATGGGTTTTGTAACAACCCTAGGATTATAGCAGCAAGAGGTTTGTGCAATTTGCATGGGGAGAGCAAATCATCCACAACTTTTGTCCTTAATAGTTTGGAGAGATTTTGTACTACTTTGAGAGAGATTTCCAAGTAGGGTTCATAATATCTCAAATAGATTTTGAAGAAATCGACAAAGATATCGGGTATGTTTAGTACACCCTACTACGTTGTGTGCTAGCCACAACTCTCACAGGTATTGAACGACGAGTGAACTGATGACATGAAACACAACAAATTGACAATTGAGCTGCTACCACCAATATTATAGTAAACAAGCAAAGTCCTTGCCCTTTTGGTAAGCCGGAAAAAGGGAAGTTACTGTTGCTAAAAAAAAAAAAGATTACTCGTCTTAAAGGGATACATTTTTTGTTGCTCTAAAGAGAGATGGGAAAATCCACTTTCTATGTTTCGGCCTGGAGATCCCATCCCAATGATTGAAAAACTAATGCTAGCACACAATACCTAATATTCGAGACCCGGTCAATCTCAAAAGACATCAAAGGAAAATTGATGTTTCATACTTGTTGTACTTGAAATTACGTAGTAGGTTTTTGGATCTTGGTTTTAAGACCAAATGACATGAGGTAGTAATGATTGAATGTGTTTAATCCAATTTTCCAAGTACCAGCTTTCTACTTTCTTAGTAATGATGGGATGCGTTTAATTTAAGTATTTGCAAGAACTCGTCACGTTTCAATCTTTTCCGGCTTGGGCAAGACTAATACTAAAATAGGAATGATACTAATATTTTCCACCTATAAAAACTCCTACAAGAAAATAACAAATAATAACAGATAGACTATTAAAACATTGAAGCATATGGGAGTACAAGAAAGTACCTTGTTAAACTCTTCAGAGTTCCTTGTGGCATGATAGAAGTTGAGACCACACCTTAAGTAACTAAGCACTCCGTCTCAGCTGCTGTCGGCAAGGCTTGTCAAGAGAACAATCGCCTCTTCTAGCTTCGAAAAATGGATTAAAAACTTCTCATGAACTTCAGCTGAGCCATGCTGATTCTGTTGCCACTGAGACAGACTGTCAACCATGACCTGCAGACCACTCTGCAGCAATTCCACACCTTTATTTATTCCATCAGGAAATTTCCTTTTCTTATTGGGCTGTTTCTCATCATCAATATCCATGATGTCAGGGAGTTTATACTCAGAATCATGCCTTATGATCTTGTGAAATTTTTCTTTCAGCAGTTGGCCTTCTTTGGCGAGTATTTTGAGCTGGTCGGAACTGGCTTGTATCGTAGTACAAGCCATTTCCTTCTCCAGAACTGCTTTAAGCTCCGACATAAATCTTTCTTCATCTGCTGCATTTCCAGACTCCAAATCAAAAGACAGTGCAGCATCCTGTGGCACAAATCGCCACAGTTGGTTACAAGAAGTGTGAGCGGCAAAATATCCAAATGCTGTGATTACAATATGAATAAATGCCCAGTGTCTTTCTCTCAGTAACATATGGTACAGCTTCCATGCAGCTGAACTTTTGGCACTTCCGTCACTGTCTGGCAATGACATATGAGCGAGTCCAGCCATGAAATGAGCTAGATTCGGTTTGCATAGAAATAGCTTAGCGTGGGATGCTGTGGACTTTGAAATAAAGAGGTTCTGAAGCTCCAAGACAACATCTTCCATTTCATCGGATGAATACAAATGCTTCATACAAGAAACGATGCCTAGCAATTCACCAAGAAGCGTTCCATATTTGTCCATGATTGCACTGTTTGAAGCGGTTTTGCACTTGCAAATAATAGAAACCAGAAATCTCAACGTCTTTATGTCACTATCGGACAGGCTAACCTGGCTGAATGAATTTATGTGTTAAATACATAAATGCAATGCCTCAAACTTAGTAACAGAAGAAAGCTTACTGAGTCTGAGTAAATGAGTATTTTAAACTTAACAAGTGAGAGGACTATCATTATGCAAAATTTTAATTGTGATGCAGTGAACTTACAGGGACTTAAGTGCCGCACAGAGAGCAGATATGGGAGTACCATAAACAAGAGAATCACTACCTCCAGGAGAGTTATCTTCAAAGCTCTCTAGGAAGTTGTAATATTGAGTCACGATTCTTTCTTTAGCATTACTCCTGTTCCTCTCTGAAAGAGAATTTAGGGGAAAACCTTCCATGAGAAGTGCCACGTGCACATTTAAAACATACTGAGATCTGCCAGTTTCAAATATGGAACTATAAAATTGATCAGCCATGAATTCTGGTCCATAAGTAGCAAGAATGCTGATCAGCCTTGCAATTTTTCGGAGACCATTCTGACAAAATAGTACTGGTTCTTGAGATGTTAGCAGGAGTACAACACACAGCTTATCAACGATGTCATTCACCATATCCTGCTCGCCATGACGTGTCAAGAAACACCAAAGTTCTGTGATGATTTCCCAACAAAGAAAATGAGGGTGGAAAAGATTTTTAATAAGGAATAGCTCTACTTCATTCCATGCAGGCGTTGAGAAGGCAACAATCATAAATGTCTTCAGCGCATGAAGAATGGCACAGAACATGGGATGGTGAGTTGATTCGCCGTTTCTTCCTGACACAAGTGGTGTAGGAACCTGCAAAACAAGAACAGAACTGTATACATCTTCATCTACTATTGTATCCATCAGCCAATCTAGCCTTTTGGCAATACCAAGTTTTGTGTCATCCTCTAAATCAACAGAACCCATTAGAAGATTGAGATACAAGGCAACTTGACCAATGGAGAGCATCTTCTCCTTGTTCATAGAATCACTTACTGAAAATATCACATCTGATGAACTGAAGCTACTATTATTGTTCTCAGCCTGAGAAGTCATGTCACTTTCAGTGTTAAATAGCCAGTCCAAAATCTTGAACTTGTTTTCTTGCTTCAACTGACTTGAGTTTAACAGAGAGTTAAGCAAGTGCAAGGAAGTTGGTTCCAGGATTTCAGCCAAAACTTCACTCACGGACTTCAAGTGGTCCACCATACTGAGTGAAATTCTGAAGGCTAATATCTTAACAACACAGTGTGATATCTCTTTGAACACGGAAAAGGCTTGGATTTGGTACTGTGAAATAATTCTTACAGCATTGATCAAATAGAACTTCACTGGAAGAAAAATCCTTTTGGCTTCTATTACAGAAACGTTTTCCTCCATTGAAGACCAGCACTCAGCCGCACATTTTAACGATTCACTGGCCAGTGAAATGAGATTCATTATCACACCTGCTATGTTCACCTTTGCTGCTAAAGAACCCTTCCCAAATTGAAGCAAAGAAACTACACCTTTCCATGACATATTTAGTAGGCTGACAAGAGTGCCACCATCAGAAGCTGCCACAGTGCCCAATTCACATAATTTTTCTACAGCACGATCAACTACAATTATGGCAAAATCTCCATTTTCAGTTTCTTTACAATCTTTTGCATTTTCCTTTTCTGCATTCCCAAGGTAGGTATCCCAATTTACACCATTGCAGTATACCTTGCACAATCGAGTCATGGAATCTAGGGCCACCTGTGCTGCCTTTAATAATTCTGAACCTAATAGTGGTATTCTCTGTAGAGAAATCACACAAGTGCAATAAGTATTGGAAATGAGAGTTTTTTTGTGAATATGCATCTCTACTTGTTACAACAAAAATGCAAATATACATCTCTACAAAAATAGCAATTGTACACCTTCTGAAATCAATGTTGGATCAGGCAAGATGGAGGGAAGAGAACGTAAGCTCAATAAACATCATATGATTCTTGATTAGGTACCATTAACAGCCTGTACACCAAATACACATACAGAGTATGCTACACTGTCAAAGTAAAACAAAGAGGTCCTAGTACTATGAACAAGCACAAGTCTACCTAATTATGTGATAGAGTTGAAAAATCAATGAGTAAAGAGAATAGAACACTTGCTCCTTCAAAATGTGATCATCAAAGAAACAACAGACAGTGATTGGCATACCTTCTTAAGAAAGAAAGGGTGATAAAGTCGGTTTAAACAGAGGTTATGGAAACCTAAGAGGACAATGCGTAATGATATAGAAAGTACAACACATTTTTTCCCCTCAGAAGCAATAGCACATTTATATAAAATAAAACTAATTGTGACACACATAACTGGTTCACCAACTGAAAAAGATTACTATAAGCCAGTATAAGTTGTTAATACCTTTATCTCAGACACCAAATCTTTCATCAATGCAAACTGTTCTGAAATGAAGCATTCTAGGTTGTCCACCAATTTCTTACTAGTGGAAGCAGGGTATCTTGCTAAAGCTGTATAGCTGGCAGTTGAGTAGCTGAGCAGATCCAAAACTAACTGAAAAAGTTCAAAAGGTTTTAACATGACCATTGAATCTTACTTACTTGGGAGAAGATGATGTTCTGAATTGATATCTTACAAATCTATAATATCAATTTTATGAGAAGTTAGAATTCTTCTGAGGAAACAAAAGAGACCAATAACCAAATTGAACACGTTTCCGTGAAAAAGAAGCATTCACTATTTTTCTAGTGTTGCAATCATGAGGAATTATAACAATGTAAACTCCAATCCACTGTAGCATGTAGAAGCATATAAGAGATAATCAATATTCTACTTTACATATTGTCATTCTTCAACATAATGTAGAAAAAGAATCTTACAAAACCAAATTACATATGTAAACAAGATAATGTTTATAAGTCAGAAATGTAACAGAATAGAATAAGTCATCAAGATAATGCCCCAATGACCTTCACCTGATAAAAGAAACTTGAATGTTCTTCTTCTGGAGAATCCTCGAGTGACATGAGAGTCATTTTCAAATGCTTTCTGCACCAAATGTTTGCCTAAGAATGATGATCAAGATATTAATTACACATTATTGATGAACTCAAAATAACAAAATCACAAAATACTACTATCAGCCATATTAAAAAATAAAAATAAACAGATTAAAATAAAAAAAACATCTTATAGTCCAAGATAATAAAAATTATGGACAAGAACAAAGAGCATACTTTTGTTCCCAGTGCGATAAACTGAACCAGATTTCCTGAAACATCTGAATCCAAGTATTTGGCCGCCACGTGTAAAATAGTTTTGTTCAAAGTGCACTGAGATATATCCAAGCACGTAAAGTCCTCCCAAAACATCTAAATTGTTGAAGAAAACAAGATAAGCAACTACAAATAGCTACAATGGGCACCAGATGTCATCGCATTCTAGCACGTATTTATAATCCAAATGCATATACTGTTGAATAATTATACAAAAACAAGAAAAAAAAAAACAAGCAAACCAAAAGTTTGAATATCGTGAGCATAATTAGGATACTGCCAAATGCTCAACAATTGTATTCACTTCAGATTTCTCATCTATACCCAATTCCTCCAAATTCTGGAGCAGCTGCACACGATTTTCAACCACCTACAAATTCCATACATTTATTATGTAATCAATAGCTGAATTATGAGTAAAAATAAAAAACTGAAACAGACACAGTTTCTAGCCCTCCACTCTTCACCAATACTACCATTTCAATGATCTCTGGAGGTAAAATGAAACAAGAAACCTCAAATTCCGATGCTTAAAAACTGCTCCCAAAATGCAAACACAGTAATACTCCTGCTTTATTCCACACATTAACCCATCAATCAATTTCTAAAATAAACAATCCACAACCATAACTGAAATAAGATTTACAAATGATTAGCCGATTAGCTAAATCTCGACCGCTTGCGCCAGTAACAAAAGAACGAAGATCTCAAAAATTTCTCAAAATCGTAAACCAGTATAATTAAGAGCTACAAAAGACGGTGCAGATTTACAAACAATAAGCATCGTAAAAACGCTAAAATTGATCGGTAATCAGAAGCTTGCCTCGGCAGATTTAATATCTTGAAGTAAGGCGAGCAAGCCTTTGCCTGATTTGGAGCTCTCCATCGTCTCCTATATCTCTGTTTCGGATACATAGCCTTGAATGGCTGTGTATTTATTCATTCCACTTTTCATTCCCGCCATAGCGAAAATGTAGGGTTAGTTTGTTTTTAGTTTCAACGCAAAAACAGAAGTATTGCATTACCATTGCCTCGGTCTTCTAATTTTCTTTTTATTCTTTTTTGTTCTTCTTTTTAGTTAAATTTATTTTATTATTAAATTTAATAAACTCCATTTTATATAAAACACAATATTATTTTCTATTTTGGTCTGTTTTAAAATAAGTTAATTTAGTAACTGCATTACCTATATATAACATATTTAATATCTTTTAAATTTTTAATATATTACACGATCCCTTGTTGCACAATTTATCTAAGAAATGTATTTTTGTCCTTTTTTTCATATAAATCAATATAATACTAATAAATAATACTGGTTTTATGGGAGATGGTACCTTTCCGTCCCATCTTAATTGATATATTTTTTTTTACTTTTGTTTATTTTATAATAATTGACATTTTTTTATTTTGTATAAAATTACTAAAAATCAAAACATATTTAACAAATATAATAAACTAGTTTTTTAGTTCCGTAATTGATCTCATTTATCATTTTAGTCTCGTAACTGGATTATATCACAAACTAGTCCTGTAATGTAAATTTTTTTTGCAATTTTAGTCCTTCAGCGACGGAGATACCTACGTGACACAAATGTAACTCGTCGGATGACACGTGTCTGCCAAGTCAGCGATACTTACGAACACCTGAATTTTATTTTTTTAATTTTATTTTTAAATTCTTAATTTTCAAAACTATTTTTGGAAATTTTTAATTTTATAAAAAAGACAAAATAAATTAATTAAAATAAAAAATAAATCTATGTGTCCATCAAATATCGCTGACCTGACGGACATGTATCTTCCGGCGAGCCACGCGGGCGCCACGTAGGCATTTCCGGTGCCGGAGGACTAAAAGTACGAAAAATTTTCACTTGCGGGACTAATTTGCGATAGACTCCAGTTACATGATTAAAATAATAAAGGGGTCCAATTACAATAGTGTCTTTTGTCATTTTCGTCCGTCTCAAAACAATAGTCCAATTTTTATTTTTGTTAACTAACTCCCCACCTTTTTACAAAATTATCCAAACTTTTTCACGATAATTACATAAAGTAAGAATATTTTGGTCTTTTAAAAACACTTTTACACCCATTACCAATATAATACTATTATTCATTAATTCCTGCATCAATTTTAAATATCACTATTGTTTTGTGACAGAGGGAATATAAATTAACTTATAATATAAATTATAAATAAATAAACGTTTTTTTTTTAATTTACTTATATTATAGGATTTTTTTTATTGCAATATAATTTTTAAAATATTTAAATAATATATTCTAATTTTTTAAATAATGTACTATATTAAATTTATTTTAAAATTATCATTATTATTAATTATATAAAAAATTATAAAATAATATTATAATTTATTATTATTAATTAATTAAATTTCATTATCTCAAATACTATGTCACTGATTAAATATGTCAATTCACCTTAAACAAAAAAATATATTTAATTATTACTTCTTTCATTTGTGATGTTTATATCATTTTACTTAGACACAAAGATTAAAAAAAAAAAATATTTTAATATAAAATAAAATAAGTAAAAAAAATATTATAAAAAATTTATTAAAAAATATATTAAAAAACAATTAAAAAATAAAAAATATTATAATATAAAAATAAAATAAATAAAAAAGAGATATTATAAAAACTTTATTAAAAAATATATAAAAAAACAGTAATGTAATAAATAAAATAATGAAAAATTAGTTATTAATTTCTTAAAGTATAATAATATAAATATAGGAAAATAAAATTATTTTTTTTCCATGCATTGTGCATAAATACTGATAACAAAAAGAAAGCCTAATTACAGTGGGTGGGCGGAAAATACTACTCCCTTCGACCCATTTCAAAGTATAATTGTTATCATTTTCGTTTGACTCAATCCAAATTATTTATATTTCATTTTATTTAAATAAAAATAATTAATTATTAATACCAAAATATCTTTAATTTTTATTTAAATTGCAAATATACAATTATACATATTATTACTTTATATATAAACTTAAAAAGGCAAAAATATCAAAATTTTTTAAACACTTTTACTAATTAATAAAATATTATTATATTTTAATTTATTATAAAACCCCAAATGACCATTTAGAATTGGACAACAAAAATATTTAAATAATATTAATTTATTACAACTATTATCAATTTTATTACACATTATTCTTATTCTATTTAAATTTTTATACTGCTTTTGTTTTGTAACAAGAGTGCAATTTGTTTTTTATATGTAAATTTTTTAATATTAATATTATATTATTTGTCGTAAAAAAGACAAAAATATTCATATTAATACAGTGTAATATAAAAATAATGATATTTGTATAATATATTGTAAATTGCAAAGGTATTTATTATGTTAGATATGTAGTACAATTACTAAATTAAAAAATAATATCTTATTTTAAGACCGATAAAAATAGAAAATTGTATTAGTTTCCTTGTGGGACGGAGTGAGTAAATATTTTATAGTACCTTTATCCTATTTTCAATAAAATATTTTTTTTAATCTTTTCTCAAAAGATATAAATTTACCAAACATTAGTTTTTTTTTTTACCTAAGATTCCCTCTGTCCCACATATAATGTCTTATTTTTTATTTTCGTTCGTCCCACATTTAATCATATTTTTAAACTTTTAATTTTTAATTTTTTTATTATTCTAATTATTTTTATTACATTATAATTATTTTATTAATATATTTTTAATTATTTATTAATCATATCCCTTCTAAATTCTCGTGTCTACCGTAACGACAACTGTGACACCATATCGGGGACGACGGAGAGAGTATTATAGTATTAAATACTCCCTCTGTCTGCCTCTAAGGATCACATTTACATTTTATGTCATTGTACTTAACATTAAAAATATTTTTATATTTGTATAATTTTTTTTGTACAAATGTCCTTCTATTAGTATTATAAGACACTACTTTTCCAATTTTTCTTAATTTGTACTACGTTTAGATATAATAATTAATATTCAAATATCAACTCGCAAAAAGTAAATGAGACCCTTAGAGCCGGACGGAGGTAGTATATTTTAAATAAAAATTTAAATCAAAATCAAGCAGTTGTTTAGTTTGTATTTCAAACAAAAAAAAATTGTACTATTATTCCCAACAAAATTATATTGGTTGTGTTTGTTTATTCTTTTAGTTTGAGGTATTTTTTTATATGATATACGACTAATTGTGTCGATAATATAAAAAATAATACTATCTTCGTCCGGCTCTAAGGGTCTTATTTACTTTTTGCGTGTTGATCTTTGAATATTAATTATTATATCAAAACGTAATACAAATTAAGAAAAAATTGCAAAAATACTTCTATTAGTGTTTTATAATACTAATAGAATGACATTTGTAAAAAAATTATACAAATATAAGAATATTTTTAATGTTAAGTACAATGACACAAATGGTAAATGTGACCCTTATAGGCGGACGGAGAGAGAATTTTATCTTGAATATTGACTTTTGTGAAAAGATAAAATATATATATTGAAAATTGTGTTGAAAAAAAATTACGAGCAAACAAACCCTTAACTTTTTGTAAGGATATTGTTGATGATGATTTCAACAATAAAAAGTAAAATTCAAAAATATATTTCGAACTTGAATGAAGAGTGTCTGAGATCACGGATCCCTAGACAGACAGTACATAATATTGCTAAAGAAAAGAAAAATAAAAGCTGAAAAGGATAACTGGAAAACTAAAATGGTGATCCCCAATGAGAATTTCTTTGAAATTTTGTCTGATTGAAGATGCTTGCTCTCTATCGCTGAGGCTGCTTATATACGTATCAAACCAAACCGTCCTGAACCACTTCCATGACAGTTACCCTTGAACCACCCAAAAAACCACTTTCACATCGGTAACCGTAAAGAAACTGTTTCCACGTCGGTAATCGTAAAAACCTGCTTCCACGTCGGTTATAAACCGCCCAAAAACTACTTTTACGTTAGTTACCCATCCGAAAACTGCTTCCACGTCGGTTCTGAACTATCCAAAAATTGCTTCCACGTAGGTTCTGAACCATCCAAAAACTGCTTCATCGTCGGTTATCTTTGTAACCAACCGTCCCAAGGTCTAAACTCTGATGAAAACTATCTGTAGGACCAACCGTCCAACTGGCCTGGCCCCAACAACCATCTGACTGAATGACTCTAGTCCACCACTGGATTGCCACTAGGCCTATCCATTCATCCTTCCTGGGCTCAAACCCTAACCTTATTATTTTGTGCTCAACAACTTGCCTCCTCCTCATCTGACTCCTAAACGTCACTCTCGATCGGCTCAAGAAGTGACGGTTGGGAGTCTTCAACAACAATTGGGAGTATTTAACTATCAAACCCTTTTTTTTGCGCATCAATTCGGTTGCCAACAAGGTATTCCTGACTCTCTTGCCCGACCACACTACCGACTTCTCCTGAGCAACCACCAACCGATCTGCCAATAGTCGACCTTCCGGCCAAAAATCCTCCGGCGGTTGGGCTCCCATTTTTGGGTCCCCCGGCGGCTGGCTCTTCCAAAACCGGCCAACCAGCAGCCGACACTCCTGAGGCCAACCGACTTTCCGCTGAAGAGAAGTCTGGTAGAAATATCCTGAGGCCAACCGACTTCCCGATGGATGGCTGTCTCCAATCCTTCCCATGTGAGGCTAACCGATTTCCTCTAGTGTTGGCTCCTTCCGAGGCGACCTCCGTCTTGGGTCAGGTAGACAACTTCGCATGCTTCTAAAATTTCTTGTTGATATTCCGAATTTTAAATCAGCATTTCCATTTGGCAGCATAATTTCAATCTCTTCTTCATCTCCCAAGTTCTAGTTCCAACAACTGCGCGATCGATCATGGCCCATTGTGCAACACTGCCCTTTGCTGACTTGCAGCTTAAAGATCTTCAAGCTCTAGCTCAAGTCACGATTGATTTGCTGATTCAACATCCCACCGAGTCGACGG